GTCAAATCTTGTCGTCAGCTGTTGTCACATCTCGTCATTAGCTAGTCTTTTGTCGTCACAAATCATCACCAACCAGGCCTATGTCGTCACATCTTCTCACCAGCCAGTCTACTGTGGTAACATCTCGCCGCTACTCAGTCTATTGTCGTCACATCTCGTCGTCACATACAACGGCGCTGAAGAAGTCAGTAGACGAAACCGGTACGCCTTTAATGTAACTTTTTTAATAGTTTGATTCGTGGAGCCTGGAGGTTCATGCACTCTCGATACGATTTTGGACGTATGTGCTACCGTCATTTAGTGTTAAGGATTCCTTTTTGTATGCTACGTCGTTTTGCCTAGAAAAGAACTGGACGATAAGTTTTGGGATGATGAAATTAATGAGCAGAAACTGAAAATAAGAGGGAGGCAATACCTGCTTCACGGGGCAATACCTGCTTCAGCTCATATCTACCAGACATTAAACGTGCGCTAGTTTGCGCTATAATTTACCAAACATCTGTCTTTAGCCTCTTGAGATGATCCGTTTTTTCGTCATCATCTTTAATCTTCGTTCGAATAAAATATTTTCTGACAGCGCATCAGTATAGCTTAATAATTACATGCCTATATGTTTACATTATGGTCACAGTGGCATCTAAACAAATAAAGTATAATGACTTGTTTTTGATCCGATTGGCCTCGCAATAGGCTGGCTGATTTAATTCATGCCGCATGCGTTTTCTGCGTCACGTTTTGTCATTTTTGCCAATCTTATCTTCTTTTTTGGCGATAGCGGTTTCGTTTATTACGTCGTGGTTATAAAACAGCTAAATGCTGTTGCCTGTTCCGTTTTATGTCTGAATTGCGTTTTGGAATTTCGCTGAATGGTGATTTTTTAGTTGATTTGTTGCAATGCAAGGTTGGCGCGTGTTTTAGATGTGATTTTATGTCAGGCTGCAATATTGTGAAACAAGACGGCACTGAAAAGTGACTTAATGATGGTTCATCTCAGCCTCTCGGTAAGTGATCAAACTTTTCCTCAATCCTTTGTCAATACCATTGGCTCCAATTCCTGTGACTGGCTTGCCTTATAATCACGTTATGACTTGACAACAGGACAGACCAGAACTAACAAATACATTGAACACACTTCATTACAAATGGTCGGTATATGCGCTGCATATCCGAGTGTTTCCGTGAACACCTCTACAAATTAAATTACAGCTTATCTTTATTAAGTAGTAAATAAAACTGACCGATTTGAGCATTCGAGCGCGATATCATTGCATTTTTTTTAACCAAAAGTATTGCTATGTGGAATTTTTGTCCATTTTCGTAGTGTCTAAATTTAATTACATTTATCGACGGAAGCAGATTTTCTTTGTCAGAGAAGAATTAATGGACGCTTTTGGCGCTTTTGACATTTTTGTTTTGCTTACCTACGTCGTTTTCGCGTTTCTGTTGAGCTTTTGATGGAATTTAATAAGACGTTAGCGTTTACAAACTTTTGAAGCTTGCAATTTGTTAGTGCCCAAGAGGCGAAGTGATTGCTCACTGCTTGATGGGATTTATTCAGACAACGTTTTGGTGAGTAATGGCCAGGTATGTATGTCTTATATAATATATAGGTACCCTTGAACGTTAGGAGCAGATTATTATTAGCTATCTTAAACCTTTTTTTCAAATTTTGCTTGGTGCCGGTAGGCAGCCTGAATTTGAAACACTTAACACAAAATAATCAGTCTGATAAGGTGTCGCTCATCAATGGCCGACAGGGGTCATAACTAAATGATACGAAAAAAAATACATTGACCGGATTTAACACAGCACATGCTTTAAAACGTTACGTTTTTACGTCGTTTTTATCAGTTTTTATGAGCTACCCGTTGCGGCACCGTCGCGTGTTTTGAGATGATTTTACTTACGCTGGAAGATACCGGCATGCCTAGCCTATTGACATTTCCGGACAGCCGCGCCGTTTGAAAGAGCATTTGTGTGCACATTTCCGCGTACCGTATGTGTAGTGTTTTTGGCAAGCCTTTTGCTTCGGCTGATTTGGCAAAAATATTCAGTGAGTTATATTTGCAAGACACATCAAGATGTCGACTACCTTATTGTATCCATGGTAAGTGCGATGGGTAAGTGCGACTGGCACTGTATGCAAGGTTGAACCCTAAATGATGTCCAGTTCGCTCAATATTGCGAATGTATTTGGTGTCTGTACTTGCTTTGTGTATGAGGAAGCGATTGATTGTCACTCCATTAGATGTGTCTTTGTTCACGTTGTGTCGGATGCTTGGCTTTTAGAAGATCCCCATGGTTGTGCTCGCGTTTGGTTTGCATGTATATGTTACTGTCTTTGTGTTTGTACGTGTTTGAATGTGACATCAAATCTTGTTTTATTCCCTGTTAAGTATTTTAGTTATTAAATCTGACTGATAGAAAAACAGCTTAATTTCGTGTTTAAAGCACACTTTAAGATGGTTTAATATGCTTTTGAAATCAACTTGAACTAATAACTCCAGACTTCTTTCAATGCTTCCCTTACTGACTACTGAACCTGGGAAATATACCGATAGGTAAATATATTACTTTTACGTTACGTTTAAGCTCAAGGTTTCTGGAGTTAAACACTGTTGCAGAAATATAATCGAACCTGATTCAATTAGGTATAGGTAGGTATGTAGAATGTACTGTAGCAGACGTAGTGATCACTTTGCAAAAATAACGGTATAGGTAGAAGAGAATTTTCGTGCACAGGTATATGCTAACTTTGCATTGGCGTTCAGGTTCCCGATGCTAGAATGATAATTTGTGCTTACAAGCTACATTTCACACTTTTCGGTCAGTTGGTGATCTAACAATTTACTTCATGGCCCGTTGTTTGACGAAACGCCTGTATTGATGAAAATCATAGTACCTACAAGTGGGTTGTACCGTGTCAGTTTTCTAACTGGATTAGCAAGCTTTGTTTCACTGGGACAGTGACTACCTACAGTTATCAAATTGATAGTGATGTAGACAGGTTTAGTGCGTAGGTAGGCTGCGTATAGTGCAGTGCATAGGCCATGATACCGCCTGAATAAGTATGGTGTCATGGGTTTTGGATAGCCGTCAACCGCCGACAAGGGTTTCAATCTTCAAATAATCTATTCACTCGCCAATGCCATAGTTCATACACGCTTTGGTGTATGATACATTTTCAGATATATTTATCATTTCATTTACTTTGCCATAATTCTAATGTTCTGTCGGCCTGACTGCTCTCCAAGGCGATGCCCGCCCTATCCCTCCGGCTCCACGTGCCGGGCATCGGGCAACAGGGAGGCGCCAGCTGCTGATTTGGCCGCTCTTGCTGAGAGGGCAGCGGAACTGTCCGGCGGGGGCTTGAGCCGGCCTTCCATCGGTACGGATCTGGGTGAAATGCCGTCAAATAGTGGCGAATCGGACAGCTGGCACCATCCTGGCAAAGAGAGGGATATTTTATGCCTAAACACCACGGTAATTAGGTACCTATGCACGTTGCACAATGCATATTGAATATCGCACATCACGCGATACAAAGATGTTCTAATGCTCGATGCGTTCAAGTCGTGCAACATTAGCAGTTCATATTAGCAATTTCACGTTATTTATGTAGGTTTTATTAATCGCCGTCCGCAGGCGTTTGAATATGATTGGCTAGGTATAGGTATGTGCGGTGATGTTCAACACATGATGAATTGATACGTGACCGTATTTGTAAGCAGAACCGGACACAAAACGAGTGGCACGCTCCGAGAGTAAGCCCCATTCTGTTTGGTACAGAACTTTGACCACACAACTACCAGCAGCTCACCGCCGGAGCAGTAATTGCCGCCGGCTCATCGGGCTGAACCCGCGGCCCTCTCGGCCCCGTGTGCGGGGACTTTCCCCAGGCTGAGGTGGGCCATGCAGCCCCGTAAGCCCGACAGTACCACTTCGGAGCGCGCCGATGAAATCGAGAGTGGTGATTAACTTCATTATATAGGACTGAATCGTAAAATGTTTGTATTTCCCGTAACAAGAATACCTCTTGAAGAAAGTTTAGATCGTTCATAGCTCTCGTTTTTGCTGAAACGATGCCAGCCTTGCACGTATTTGCCCACTCAGTGGTGGGATCGAGCAACGTAAACAATACCTGTTGGGCTCACGAACAGAGATTGAGTGAATTCGCCTGCAACTTTACTGCCACCTAGCGACAAGGGCAAAATGTTGTGCTTGGGTGCCTAGATGGCGGTGAGAGCGACTGACTCCATGAGTTCTTAGTCTGGCCACCAGGTGGCGAGGACGCACCCGTCGTCTAAGCCTCGACTGAGCGAGCCACTGCCCAGAGTCTTGCGTCGAGTGTACCTACTTGTTATGGATGTCCGCACGGCCAGTCAGCGCTGCACCTTCCACATGTTTATTCTTATCGAAGCATTCCTCTGCAATGTAGGTATGTTTGCACTTTGAAAGCCACTCTCCAGGGCAGCGACGGTGGAAGGTCATCGGTCAAGTGTCAGTGTGTCAAGAAGGGTGTCATGTGTGATAGATCAGTGAGATGTGTATGGGGAGCTGGGAGGGCCACACCGGGAGGGGAGGGGACAGTGACCTGTTTAAACGATCTGTTGCTGGCACGTCAATTATATCCTCTCCGGAAATGCTCACTTGCCAGAAGGAATTATCGAACGATTTCCAGAACGGCCCGGCGATACGAACACGCCAAACTGCTCTTACCGTACGTGTGTGCAATTAAGCACAACCAGCTAAGACACACGTCCTAATGGGATGTCCGCCTGTTCAGCGTGTTTTTAAAGCTAAGTAGATGGTTCAGGATGGGATTCGGGCACGATCTTCGGGTAAAAATATCGTTTATTGTTGGGGTTTCCCTGCTAGCTCCGTTCACCTAACTCTGTGACGAATACGATCCACAATCAGGCATTTTTGTTAACCTCAGCCGCCGCCCCTCGTTCTGCAGACCGCACCGGAAGACCCACAACTCTTCGAAAACAAACACAGCGGGTTCCACCGTCATATCGGTATGTGTGTATATATTTACATAATACTAGTCGAGACTCTGCGCCGGCAGGGGGCGCTGCACATGACATTCCTCCCTCCCTCTCTCCCACACATGCACTGCACAGCAGTCGGCACCCGCTCCTCTCTCGCTCTCTCTCCCTGGATCGCCCGCCGCTCTGCACATATCACACTGAGTAACTCACGACCGTCGGCGCCGCCCGCCATAACAAAATTCGAGTAACAGGTGCGCTCTCTCGCCACGATAAAAACGCACGCGCGCGCACCGGAGCACATAAAACTGACTGAGAGGCGGCGCCGACCTGCGCCGGATACGTCATAAATGCTGGAACTGGTCGCCAGGGGCGCAGTAACGAACGCCAACACGGCGGCACGGTAAAAACGAGACCTCCCATACGGCCGGGCCTTGCGGAGCGACGTGCCTGATATACGTCTGTCTGTCTCTGTCTCGCCCTTGTTCTGTCGGCTGGTAAGGCACAGTCTGTCACAGGTCGGCCGAGATATGTCACCCTGGCGGGCTCCGCACCAATCACACCTTTGTACTAGCTCTCACAGATGGCACTCGCGTGGCGGCAGCGGTGCCGCGCTCAGGCGTCCGCCTCGCGGTCGCTCTTCGGCTTCACGCGTGGATACAACTGGAAAGAGGACACGCGCAGTCAGCAGAGCTATTGGGGTCTGGTCTGGCACTTCAAAAGAACCACTCAGGGCGGTAAATAGTTTGCCTTAGAGTCCGACAAGTCGCCGAAGTGGCTTAGAAGCGACCGGAAAAATCTGTTCGGGGCATCGATCAAGATCAATCGCCATCGCGATTGACGTTTTACGTATGGTAGAACGCTCCGATAGCCAATTTGGTTTGATGTTGTGCAGTGACGGAATGGGACACATCACAGACAGCTGCACCATCAGGGGCAGCTGGGCATAATATCAGGTGCGTTTGTGAGCGTATGTGGCCCACGGGTCATCTATGTATCGATGGATGGTCTAACACTTTGACAAAGAACGGAACATATTTACTCCCTGTGGCCGCTAAGGTCAAGTCATCCGCCCTACATGAACGCTCAAGCTCTTGCATAAAACTAGTAACAACTCTACAGACAAACCCATTGACAGGACTATCCACATGCCCGATCCCCTTACAGAACAAACCCTATATCTATCCCAACATCTTCCTCTCCCACCCCCACACGTCTCCTTTCTCACCCCGAGTAGATTTCTGGGAATGTAGCCGTCTCGCGGCGGGTCGCGCCCGGACGTCCACCACCACTCGCGCTCCACCTCGTCCCTTTCTGATGACGGTCAGCGGCATGCCGTCGGTCAGCTGCGCTCATCAAGCGTTCTGCGGCTGGTAGTCGAATACGGCGTACACCCGGGCCGCTGTTTCAGGATGCCCAGCTTCTCCT